AGCAGCTACACAATATGCTTTGCTATTCCAAAAAAACAACGAACTAACCAGTTCAACACGAGAGGCGAAGCACCCTTCCGCATAGAGCCTTACTAGTATTTCTGATGGCAGAAAATGCCCTTAACATTTTGTAATGCTCTGTCTGCTAAAATAGAAGTCCTCTGCATTTTTATCTTCAACATCAATACTTTACTGTCTTGTAGTTCCTTGATAACCCGATAAGGTTCCTAACAAAATACTTGGTTTCAATCCCCAAAAATCACTGCTCTGGCTCTTCACATGAGATTCAGTATTTCTAAGTCACTCCTCAATCCTGGCCACTAGAGCAGGACAAAATTCTGCAATGTCACTTCTACTATTGGAAATAAAAAGAACATGATGATCTTTTTTATATATTGAAGATTTGCTATTTTAGCTACAGCATTGCTCATGCTGAGACAGATACATGTAACGACCATCTACCTTTTCTTAAAGGGAAATCAACAAGTGCAATCCCTTTTCTTTGGGAAAAGACATACCCCTTCAAAATACAAACTGATTCTGTTTAGTTGATAACTATTGAAATATGCTCCTAAATACAGCTATCCATTAGCCTAGGTGTGTACTTCTAATGGGGAAAGATAAGATTTCTATGCACACTGTAGAAATTATACTGCTTACTATGTATTTGATTCTCATCTATACAAAAATTGCTTTTTAATAAAATGCAAAGTTTGTAACTATAAAATTTTAAGGGGGGGAAGGGGGTTGCATTTAACATACATCTGATACGACAACAAAAACTGCTTGCAGTGACAGAACAGTACTTGCTTTTTACCTTTACATTTACCTTGATCAGGGGCCTTTGGAGATGACAGAAGTTCAAAAAACAGCCTAACTCCATTTTTGAAAATCATTTCAGCTTATGAATGCTCTCACTTCTGAGGATACAAAGATGCTTATGAAAACCTGGCCCATAACTCACAGGAAAAGTAAGAGTAGTTTGCTTGTTACATTTTTTATTTCACTGAAACCGTAACTTTTAAACATTACCTGACAATTTTCACAGCAATCTAAGTTGTAGGCTAACTAGCAGTCAAACTTGTCTATCAACAAGTCATGACATTCAGCATTATTAAACACTTGACTGACAAATTAAGTGCCTCAATTACATGCTGAGTCAATTAGTTCACTCAGATCAACAAGATTTATCTGTCTCTTAATCTGAGATTTCTAAGATCAAAGCATCAAGTCTCCTCTACCCCTCCTTTGCCAGACTTCCCACTGCTTGTCAAAACCACGGCAAGGAGTGAAGGAAAAGGGGGGCAAGGCATTGCTCTGTCCAGGCTCTAGCTGGGATGGGGAAGGGAACTTAACAAGGATTAAACATTCCCAAATCCCAAGGAAAAGGATGACCAGGAAGCATCTCCACAGGAGCCAGACCAGTTGCAAACTTAGGAAGTTTATTTACTCAAATTCAAATATCTCTTTACATGTTCAAACAGCTCACATGCATGAGTATAGGTACAATACAAATAATTCTATGTGTATCAAAATAAAATAGAACCACAGAATGGTTAAGGCTGGGAGGTGCCTCCAGAGATCATCTGGTCCAACCCTCCCCCTGGCTCAAGCAGGGCCACCCAGAGGCAGCTGCCCAGGACCATGCCCAGGCAGCTTTTGAATATCTCTAAGGAGGAAGACTCCACAACATCTCTCTCACTAAAAAAGTGTTTCCTGCTGTTCAGAAAGCACCTTCTGTATTTCAGTTTGTGCCCATTGCCTCTGGTCCTGTCACTGGGCACCACTGAGAACCTGGCTCCCTCCCTGCAGGTCCTTATATGCATTGATAAGTTCCCCCAGAACCTCCTCCAAGCTGAACAGTCCCAGCTCTCTCAGCCTCTCCTCATGCAAGAGATGCTCCCGTCCCTTCATTTATCTTTGTGGCCCTTGTGGCACACAGACATCAGCTTACTATGTGTTTACTGCTATTAGTTATCTCAGATCTCTGGGTCCTTCATTAATTTATTTTTCAAAACTCAAATATGCCAGAAAACAGTGATTTTTATTTTTCTTTTCTAAAGCCAGAAACAACCTCCTTAAGTCTCAGTAGTTTAACTCCAGACTTCTGAAAAAAGAGTATCATCCTGCGATTTTAAGCATAAAACAGAAGATATTAGACATGAATAGCACGTCTATCACTTGATTGTACATTTGTACATTTAAGAAATTTAAGTGAACAGTTTAACAGGAATGGTTTTAAACAAACAGATTTATTTTCTATCCTGACACAGCTAGGACTTCTATATTTTGTCAGTGAAGTCACTGCAGAATCTAGTGACTTCAGAGAAGAAATTGTGATCCCTATAATTAACTTTTCTTTCCCCACAGGCTGAGGAATGTTATTTACTAACCATAAAATGAACAATCAAGTCAAAAGAGAAAGAGTTACCTAGAAACCTCAAAAACCTTGTCATCAAATCATCCGTGCAAGCACTGCTAACATAGCTCTTAGCTACCAGTAGCCAAATGCTATAAGGAAAAACCTAGTGGCATTTGGGCTTTTGAGACAAGTGGCAATTTCACAATCATAGAAGAAACAGAAGAATTTCCAAGGAAAAAAAAAATTAGCACCACATCAGTTACCAAATGCAAATTCACTGGAACCGAGAACTTGTTTAAACACATTTTTCAGTTTCACAATTAACTGAGCCATGAAAGCACTGAATAAATATTAAGATAGCTTAGTCACAAATTAAAAGATAAGAGCTTTTGAATCATTTAGGAGAGCTAGTGTTACCACTCCATCTTTCATTTAGAGTACAATCATTTAAGAAAGACTTAAGTATAAAATATAATTTATCAATTTTAGTTAAACACAAGTCTCAGATAATTCATTTTCTGCTAAGTTAACTTTATTCTAAAAGTCGCTAAAATAAAAAGATAACATTTCCTTCCTTTTTAACAAAAAACCTTTGCTTGCTTCAGATGGCAAGAAAAGCTGGTATACCCAGTGCCCAGCAGCTGAACTGATAAACAGCCTAAGAACTTCAGTTGCCCCTTATTTGTTTAAACAATTTTAAGAGAGGCTGGAGAGACTGAGGAACTGTATTAGGGGTGGGGAAAGCAGGAAGGAGAAGGATAATGGTTTTCCTTATCCATACTTTTATGTGGTACCACCTGCATCCTACTACACAGCACTTAACCCCAAATCTCCCCTGGGCTCCATGAGACACATTTGTAGTCTGAAGACAAACATTTAGGTGGGGAGAGGAGTCATTCACATTTATTTCTGTTCAGACTGCCGAACATAAAGCTTTAAGTGGCATTTTCATAGCAGAAAACTAAGAGTACGTGTGCATTCCTTCAGTAAAAGGTACAGACATATAGGGACATCAAAAGACATCACCACTTCTGGGATACTGTGGCAATGGAGGGAGCAAACCTTGCCTGTATCACCTACTAGGAATGGCTCCTGGAGCCTCCCACACAGCACCCAAGCATTGTCTCCAACTTGAAGTACCAAATTACTCCATTTGTTACACTTTTTTCCTCCATTGAAAGAAGAGCTTTCTAGTTTTATGCAATGGTATGTTCGTTCATACTGTGACAGAGCAATATAAGCCCAGTAGCCAAATCTAGGTTTTACCCTCCCACCCGCGCAGTAATTAAGAGAAACAGAGAACATAGTTAGACAGTTACGTACAGCACAGCAAACAGTGCAGCTTGTTAAACCTGCTGGTATGAACTGGGGGGATCAGGAACTGGCGAGTTCCCTTGCTCCAATGCAGGAATGTTAAATACATGCATGTCAACATACCTCTCGCTGTTAGGAAGTAAACCACTGCTAAATTTCCTTTTACAAGAAACCTACGTAATTTTTTAAGACTTAAGTATTGCTGCCTGGTACCTTCCTTTGAAGCATTTAACCACATTAATAATTCCTTTTAAAATACTAAGCTACGTAAGTTATAACTTACGTTGTTACACGTCTAAAGTGAAATTGATATGGATAAGTTACTTAAAACAACTTCTAATCAAATAAGCCATTAGAATATAAACCAGCCATCCAACCAAATGAAGTTCTTTCACATCTGCAGTAGTTTGAATATATCAGGCTTTGTAAGCAATCCTGTAAATAAGAGCCTAAAATGGCATATTTCAAAAGACAATAAAATTACATTGAGTAACAGAGCATAAAGAAGCAGAGTGTTCTAATAGGCAGGATCACGAAGGAAGGCCACCCTGGCTTTGCACTTTCAATGTAAAGCAATTTTCCATTTTGGTTCTTTTACCAGCATCCTTCCTGACAGCCCCACATACTTCAGGAACCTATTCAAGCAAGGATTTGCTATTTTACCGAACACTTATGCAGGAATTAACACAGTGGGAACCTAATTTCATTCTGATGTGGAATAGTAAAACATATGCATATAGTAATAAAATAAATGTCTTTCCCGCTTTTAAGCATGATTGAAAAAGAAAAACAAGTGCCATTCTGTATGGATTCAGATACTGCTAATCTAATCATGCATTCAAGCAAACCTAAAATAATGCCTTATATATGTAATTTTACAATAGCATTTTTAACCTAAGACAGCATTCACACTGTGCTATTCTTACAAAACAAACAATGACAAAAAAAAAAAAAAAGAGGAAATGACAAACAGTACCTAAAAACATTTCTCTCTCAAATTCTGTTCAGACATCTTCCTTCTAGTAGCACTGGCTATTATCAAATAACATTGAATTGATTCATTTGAGAGATATCTAGAATTATTTATGATTAAGTAATGACAGAAAAATCAGAATGCTGAGAACACAAAAATATTCCAGAAAGCTGGTAAAATTACCCAAATAAGCCATTTTCTCTCCTGGAAATAAAAACATGGTTAGCAGAATTCAAATAATGAAATATTATGACACAACCAGAAATATGGCCTATGTGCACAGGTACAAAAAAACCCCAGAACAGTAGCATTCTTGTAAAAGCAAAAAAATACTTTAGAATAGAAACTTACTTGTGCATATTTTCCACTCCTATTATGATCATGATATAGTAGGAAATTCCACTTTGTATAACAAAATGTAAGGCATACCTAGGAGGGGGGAAAAAAAAAAAAAGTAAACCCTCATGGCATTTTCATTAATGACAATAAACTGTATGCATTTATTTATTTAACATGGAGTAAATAGGTTTGTCAAATTTTAACTCCATCACTGCTTCCAAAAAGCCCTTTTGCTCTATTTAGATTTTCTGCAGCCCTCATATCTGTTGAGAGCTTCGCCCTCCAGTGCAGCACTGACAGCAGTAATGAGCAAACACTACAGACTTAGAATTCTCCAGCTCATAAACAAGGATACGAAGAATATGTCTCATAATACTTCCACTTGGCATTGTTTCATGTGTAAATAACATGAAGATTTTGTGGTTCAAATTCCATACTCGTCTTCTAACCTGTTTGCAGCAATAGGTAACTGAATTCATTCTATGATACTGTGAAGTAAGACCCAAAGTATCTTAATAACTATAATATTAGTATGTGGGAAGATTATCCACTCAACAGAAATGGTAACTGTCCAGCCAGTCTCTTTGCCCCAGGTCCTCAATAGCTGATAAAGGGACGGTGGTGATGATAGTCTCAAGAACACAAACAAAAAAAGCTACACACAAGAACCCACAGATTTATTTCACAAAGGTGCTCTAAACCTCTTCTTTCTTTTGCCACAGCTCACCACCTAAACTACCACCCTACTGTTGTTTGGGTTTTTTAGCATTTGTTTTGGTTTTTTAAAGGAGTTATATTTTAGTAAGGGAACAGAGCACTGGTGGCAAAACATTGCCAGTGACTGGGGAAAAGCATCTGATCTTCAGTAAGTTGATTCTCTTTCGCTCTGGTACTTAAGTGCCTCAGTTGCATACTTACATGTGCTCAAGTGACACACTGATCTAGTTTTGGAGTTTTTCACATAAAAAGCAGGCCAAAAAAGCAGCTACTATTTTGTTATACTGATACTGTTTTCTTTCAGCTTATGAGCAGTTTCCTAATTTCACTCCCATCTATTCATGAGGAAATGTCTTCAGAGACTGTCAAAAAGAAACCCAGTTCTATCCAGCTGAAAAAACTATTCACTTGGATATTAAATGATCTTGAAAATCTTGACATTTTACAGAAGATGCAATCTGCACATGCTCCCACACTTCACCACTAGCTAGCCTCATCTAAGATATGACTACCTAAAATTCAAATGCACATATAAACAATTGCCAATTAAAAAAAATTACTAACTTTTCCTATCAGCCATGTATCGGCAATACTGTTGCAAAAACAGGCATTAGTGAAACAACAAAAAAAATTAAGTTTAAGAGGTTTGTTTCTTAAACAGATAAAGGGGCATAATAATACATCAAAGTCTGAAAACAATCTGGGTTGACATGGAGTACCATATCAAGATTACAGTCTCTGAAAATATTTCTCTTTCAGAGTTGTTAACACTAGCAATATGATTGATCTCTGTTTCAAAAATTAAAAGGGATTCATTTAAATACAAGCTGAAGTAGCAAATTTTGGCTACATACCAAAGGCTGTTCTAGGCCTTTTACGCTATTTGATATTATCCCAAGGGAATTATCCCTTCTCTTCCTGTCCTACATCATCATAAGCACTACAAAGGTGACTGACAACTAACACATCCAAAATTTAAAAGCACAACATAATGACTAATAAATATTCTTAAAAGGGTGCAGATTCCAAACTACTTCCCACATTCAGGTATGCATGAGATTTTCTGCAAATCTAGAAATACTATATAAGAAAACAGTAACACACATTGTAACACAAGTGAAGAATTGCTGAAGGTATGCCAGGAATCATAATCTATAGATATACTTGATTCCTTGGGGATGGGGGAGAGGTATCAAGCAAAACAAAGCCCTCAGAAACATGCTTGTATTATCCATACTTAAGCAACAGGAAAAAGAGTTGGCACAAGTGCAACAGAAGTATCAGCTTTCTAAAGAATGTGTACTTTTAACATCTCAAATTATGTTCTTCCTTTTTGGCATTTTTAAAAACCTCTTAGTTCCATAATTGTAAGAAAAAAACCTTTTAGTAAAACAGAAATACATTGCTAAAATGATTGCTTTAAGTATGATCCAAAGCAAACTAGAATAATGCTGGTGCCTACTATGGCATAAAATTTCTCTCTGATTTCTTTTCCAGGGCATATAGCCAATGAGAGGCTTCCACGAATCTTTATGCCTCTTAGGGGAGGAGGCTGTTTCTTTCTAAAGTCTCCCAGTCCCAAAGTTCGGACATGAATATGTTGTCAACACTTTCTAATTACAAGCTACAATTAATGATTTCTGTTTCTAAAGCAATGGATACATTATGTGCTTCTAAAGATTACACAATTCTCACAAAAACCATACAGAGTAGTCCTCTTCCTCTTCATTTGGTGCTAAGACTGAAAGTCTTTGACATCAGATCGTTCTCTCAAAGTAGAATACCATGGCCAAAAGTTTAAGAAATACATGGCAGTTAAGGAATTCTAAATACAAATAAACTACATATGTAAATCCAATTATTAAAACTCACTGATTTATCTTTTCCTAAATTTAAAAGTATTACACATCAACTGATGTTGAGAAGCCTCAGCAACATGCCAAAGCCAAACCTGTGGTTTGGAATTCCAAGATTTATTTATACACTCTGCGTGTGCAGACACACTCATGCACACAGTGTGCATCTTCCCACCTGCACAACAGCTTGATTAACTCTCCCTAGTTCAGTAATACTCTACAACAGTCAGCATAAATCTTAAAGCTGAGCAAGCACCTCATTTACCATGCAATAAAACAAAACTTGCACTTAATTAATCTTAAACCAGCTTCGGAAGACGAGAGCCATTTAGTAAGCTAGTTTTGATGGGGGAAAAAAAAAAAAAAAAAAAAAAAAAAAAGGTTGGTATTTATTTAATAGACAGCATTCCTAATTACATGAAATGGTTAATACATGGCATTTCTAAGTACCCGAGTTCAGCAAAAGGAGCTAATGAAGTATCCATGGAGCATAAGAGTGATCTTTGAAGTGCTGTTTACTGATCTGTTTATGCCAGAGTAATTCCACTGATACCAGTAGTCACTTCTGATTTATATAATACCACTAATAGAAAATCCTGTATTTCTACATCAAAACAAGATTTAAGTGCAGGAAAGATTTCGACACCTCACATTGCTGGTTTTAGGTTTGCAATAATGAGATAATAGTTTAAATTTCAAAATATACTGACTTAATGCTTGGGGGAAAAAAAAAAAAAAAAAAAAAAAAAAAATCACCAAACTAAATGCATATCCTTTATTAGCCCTGCTAACATTCTGGCTTGCCTCACTGTGATAAGATGATGTAAAAACAGAGAAAACTTTTAAAACAACAATCAAACAAACAAAAAACAACTACAAAAAACCCTCACACACCACAAACACTCCAAACATAAAAGACAAACACAAAAAACCCCCACAGAAAAAACTCTCAAATCAAGGCCAGCCCCTTTCCAGGTGTTTTATACTTCTAGGAGCATCACCAGTACTGCAGTTCCGGATGCTCTTCCTACAAAAAGTCAGATTATATTCAATATTCAGAAAAAAGATATAGTGAGTTATCTCATGCAGCAAATATTTAAGAGAAATTATCTTAGTCATCACACCTGTGCTGTGCTCAAGAGAATACTTCTCAAGCAAGTTTAGAGAAAAACTGGTACAAGTTAAACAAACTGCACCTGCTCCATTCTCCCCAAACCACAGGAAGACAGCATGTTAGTTACCAGTTTGCAAATGGAAGCTCTTTCAAAATTTGTGCACCACATCAGAAAATTTAAGCTGATTTCTGTACATTTGCAGCAGCTAAAATCCACAGAACTAAGCAATCACGTTCTTCATCACAAAACTTTGTTTCCCTGCAAACAAGAAATGAAAATCTACAAGCCCTTGAAAAGTGAATTTAAGTGCAACTTACCATCCAAAACAAAAAAGTGCAAGATAAAGGCCCAAGAGGGTTGCAACAACATGTCTTATAAATGGGCTAGTTTTGCTTGAATGAAGGTATGTTCGAAACCAAACAGCCGCAAGCAAGGCAAACAGTTGGCACACTACAAAGTTGACCTGCATAAAAAGAAAAGAAAAAACTTCTTACACACTTGTGTATTAAAAATTAACATAAATATCTACACGTCATTAGCAATTTACAGAACCTTTGGCTCTACCATGGCTCTTACCACGGCCTCTCAGCCTCAAAGAGCTTCTCCTGAGAGCTCCTCTCCTCCTAAAGCACAAAACAGTGCTCCCCCGAGCAGTTAAGAAGAAAAGATATACCAGAGTAGAGGCAATCTGTGCAGGAATCTAGAAAAAACAATTTTTAAAAAAAATATATTTTCCTGTAAATTGTCTATATACCAAACCGCTCTGTCAATCATGGAATCATTTATACTCCCCTAGTAATGTGACGATCTGGGTTGGCTTTTAGTTGTTTCTTAAGTGAGCATGACTTGGAAATACGTATGAGCTACACCAATCACTGCAATGGCCTGTGCAGGAGCAGGGCTCAGCAAAGTGCACCTCAGTGGTGAGGAATGAGACAAACAGCTTGGCTGCACACAGGATTTTCTTCTTCTACTTTCAAGTAGGATAGTTTCAGAAATTCCTCTTCCCTTCAGGTCATTTATTCTAGAAGATAGAAAATCTCTCTCGTATATTAAATATTTAAAGACATGAGGGCACTGAAAGGAAAAGCGGAATGTAAAAAAAAACGGTGAGTAAAAAGAATCATCCTGACTGCAGCCTGAAAATAAATTAATAGCAAGGGCACGATAAAGAAATTCCCTCAAATACAGCAACTGATACTAAAACTGGCTTAAGCTACAAAAGCCAGATGAATTCCTTTTTTTAGAAAAGAACATTTCCCACTCTATGGGTTTTTTTTCCTTCCATAGAAAACTGCCTAACAATCGCCTGTGTCTAACAGCAGCATCCCAAGTCATCACAAGCAACAGCTTGGGGACCACTCCTTCAGGTCATAAGCACTTCAACACGAGAAACTTGCACTTACTGCATGCTTGACTGGTCTTCAGCACAACAGCATTTTAGCCCGTTTGATGTCACTTAGCTGAAATATATACTTAATCCTAATACCACAGGGTACAGTGACAACCCTATTTTTATGTTGATGACAGCAAGCCCAATATTGATGGTTGCAGCAACTCAGTGCACGCCTCCAGTACCATAATTCAGCCAGCCCATTCCTTCCTCATTTTTCAGGCAACAACACATAAGGGTGTAAGAGTATGCAAGCATGGTTATATTTAAAGAAGCTAAATAACACCAACCACCTATAGAACTCTCATTTTTGTAACAATTGTGTAGATTCCCAATTTCCAAATCCAAGGATAATTCCTCTTTTTCTGAACCACCCTAAAGCCTTCCATAATGCCAAGCTTTGGAAGCATTAAGTGCCAGCAGGGAAATAGGCTCAGAAGGCAGGGCTGCTCTGTAGCACCAAAGTGTACCATCATGTACATTTTGCCATCCCTTCTCTTACTCCCACATTTACATTATGCTTTTAACAGTATTTGGAAAATCCTAAATGAATGAGGAGATATTCTTTCAGGGCATAACTTGACCTGTTTTCTCTTCCCTTTATAAGCAATGATGCAAATGAAACCGAGCGAGGTTTATAACTCAGGATGAGTCTGAGGATTTAGTAGAAAAGTTCCTACAAAACCATCAAGTTTAATGAAACACTGAAAGGGAAACAAACTGACCATTTTAAAAAAAGATTGCAAGAAATAACATTTTAAAAAGCCAAGGTAATAAACTATGAATCCAGTATCAACATTCGGTTTTAGTACTTATTACAGAAACTATGCTACAAATTTATTAAGCTCCACAGAGTATGGTTCTTACCCAAAGAACTTGCACCCTTTACACACTAGGAGGAGAGGGAGACAGGAGAAAATTGGGACAAATATGCAGTGAAGCTGAGGTGAGGAGACAGAAGGAAGAAATGGGCTGGTTTTACTCAATGTCCCAACACTGCTGCTGTGGTGGCACTATAGATGATTTGCCCATGTGTGCCTCATGATGCCCCTCTTTCAGATTATCTCTCAAAGCAAACTAGCAAGACATGGGGAAGAAGAACACTCATCACTTGGTTCCTACTATTACTATGGCAAAGGGCAGAAGCGCTTGGCATCTCTGACTTGTATCACCATCTCTACAGGAACAGACACAAGCGAAACAACAAACCTTGAATTTCACAATTCAGGGTGAAATGGAAAATGGAAAAGCCTCATAAAAAACATGCAAAGAGAACCTAAGAAAGGTGCCCTCTCTTTACTCCCTGCCTGCTGACTCCTTTCCTGGGTACTTGCTTTTGCTGTAGCTATTTACCTAAATGACCAAATCCATAGCTGAAAAGCAATATCCCATAAAAATAAAAAAAACCCAACCACAAAAAAAAACCCAACACACACACCCCCAAAATCCCACGTCAATAAACAAAAAACCCAATCACCAACTACAAACTAAAACAAAACAAAAAAAAACCCAAAACCTACCCACAAACACAAAACATCTTCCCCAATAAGAATATTTTGAGAACAGCAGTAAAAATGCAGGTCATCATACCTTTAGATCACCCACACAAGCAGAACTTCCAGATATGTCAACTCATGGTACAAATAAATGACTCAGGCAACACAATATTGTTCTGAAAGTTTTCCTCACAAGTGACTCTGAAAATACCCACTGGTAATTGTGGACTGCTCTTGCTAAGAAGCTCACAAACGTGTGCATACTTGGATACATAAAAGACATCACTGCGATGTTCACACACCACCCTGCATTCCTTCTCTTACCAAGCCAATCCTTACCCTTGCCTCACAGTGCACCAAAAGGCAGACTACACAGCACCAACGGTTTCACAATTTCTATCACATCAAAACCTCCTAAAGCTTTAAATACATATTTGTAAAACCAAGCTCTCCAGCAGTTAAGATCTGAAAGCCGTGCACCTTCAGTTTAGCCTTTATATTTACCTACTTCTAATTATATTCTTTCTGCTGCTTTATTCCATTTTCCCCAGCAGGATTTCTGCTTCATTCAGCAAATGGACAATTGCTCAGTTTTCACCCTCATCCTTTGACCCGTTAAATGTTTACCATCTGCATCCTACACCGAATACAAAAATCTTACATCTCCCCATAGACACGTTTATGCAGATCTGTCCATAACATGGGAAGGCTACATAAAATAAATGTAGACTTTGCAGTAATTTTGAGAGATCAGTATTGCTATTCCTGTTCTAAAGGTGGGTGACTGGCATGCAATGATGAAAGCCCAAATGCCCACTAACTTTGGTTGCCCAATTTCAGACACTCAGTGCCTGGTTTTCCAGTCAGTACTTTTAACAGAACTTTAACCAGAACTTTAACTTTAATTTCAGCTGCTATTTTGAATATCCAGCATGCCTATAAATTAGGCCCAAAGTATCTCAAAAGGCAAGCAAAACTGAAAGTCATCACTTCAACATATTTTCATTACATTATTTCTCCAGGTCACCAAAATTCTGTTTAGTAGCGATTTGTATTCTGAATAAGGGAGGGAGCTCATATCAATGAGTTTGTGGCCATTACTGGGCTGTGTTCAGTCGCACAGGCAATCTTCATCTGACACTTCACACTTTTGAGCATCTGCTATGACAGGCTATATATTCACTTGGTAAACATTTTGAATATTTCATTTCCTACATTTTAAAAAGAAATGGAAAACACAACATTTCTACCACTAAATCAAAGGTTATCTGTTTGCAATTGCCTGGGGCTGCTTCAGCCCAAAGCACAGATTTCACCATTCCGGCTATCAGAAATATGTTCTTTCCACAAGAATTAAAATTAATCCCTTGCCAATACTATAGGAGGAAGAAAGAGAAACAGGCGCTCTCGGCTCCCAAATTCTATCCCATTCACTTCCAATTCCAGCAGTGAGACAACGTGTGCGTCTACACAGCATTTTAGTTCAGATGAGGAGAAGGCTTCTGGAGCAAGCCTCCCAGTCGTCCTCACTTCAGATGCTTTGGCGTGCATTGTACAGTGGTGTCCAGACACACAACCCTGATTTCTTTAAAGCAAAACTGAACTAGAAGATCTGCTCCAAAGCTAAACAGACATTTAGGCCATGCACTGACCTAGGCAAAAGCAGTATTTCCCAAAAATTATTACACCATCAACCTTGGATCCTCAGCGCCAACCACTTCATTCCATAGAAACACTCCTCCTGTACTGCACTAGTTCCCAAAGTAAACAAAGCCAATATTTAATAGTCAGCATTTTCCTAATTACTCTCCCACCTTTACTCACGTTGACCATGTATCTCCACACACTGAGATACATGAAGAACTGAAGATATAGAACTTGCCTTAAAAAAGAGCACAAAAAAAAAAAAATATCTGGCTTCCCTATAAGAGAAACTGCACAGCCATTCAGATAGCAAGTGAGCAGGAGCAAGGACAGAGCTGGGCATCATCATCATGAAAGCTTCCACAAAAACCAGGCGCTTCACCAAGCACTTATTTTGTCGGCAAATGTAATATACAGTAACTTCAACATCTGGGAGTGGTGCACTTAAGTGCTTTTTGAAAGCTTATGTCAAGCACTTATAACATTGTGAGTACAGGCAAAATACAACTTTCAAACACCTCATGCCTTGGTCAGATGCGAGAACACCACCCACAAAGAACAAAGACGACACATTCCCAAAAGCAGCATGATTCATTCCTCAAACCGAATTCTAGCTTGCCTCCCCCAAGTCATAAAACCTGTTCCAATAAGCAGCTCCAGTTTTATAGAAGAAATAAAAAAAAAAAAAACAACAACTCAATCCACTTAAAGCTAAGACTTCCTAGGGGAAAAAAATTCTGATGCAGATGCATGGAATGGCAAGTTTCACCCTGAATAGTTATAATTTAGCACATGTATAAGAAAACAAACACAGAATTTTTTGCCTCCTCAGGCACAGGTCATATCAACAGCTCAGCTTTTAATGAGTGTAACACCTCAAAGTCCCACACAGAGAGCAATGTGTAATGGAAAGTTATGCACACATAAGAATAAAAAACTTAGAATGACAACGCAAATTATCAGCACTGGTTATTTAGCAATTATCAATGTAGATGTGTGTTAAATACCACTTAGACTATGCTATTACAAAACCTGCTGTATGTATTTTAGACATTTAAAAATGAAACCCACTGTTTTGGTGCAAGACCAGTCATACGGGTAGTACAGTTTACAGGCACACTTTGTGCCAAATGTAACAGTAAAACATAAGCACAAATTCACAGTTTCAGAGTAGCTACATAAAATGCAAATCCATCACATCATTAACTCCGTTAAGCTATCGACATCACAAATTTTCCATTTGCATGACCTGTGTAAAAGTCAAGGGAAAGTTTATGAAAAATCTTTTAAACATACATTTATTTTAGACTTTTAAAAATGTAAATGTTAATTATACCATACATTTGTAAAAACAAAGTTGTTTTTTAGGAAAAAAAAAGTATTTAAGAGATCAAGTCTTCACACAAAGCAAAAGAAAAGGAGAAAAAGGTCACAGACTGCTACAAGGATTTTCATCATCAAGAGGAAGTTTTGGCAAAAACATTTGATTGGAACAGCTAGAAATCTCCGGTGTTCTGACACAGGCAGCATCTTTAAAGATTTTTTTTAAGTCCATGTTAAAAAGAAAAATAGAAGAAAAGACTATTTCTCCCGTGGAACAAATTTTTAATATACTGCTGTGCAATTTTATTCACTAATTCAGATTTTGGGCTAAGCTTCCTCTTCATATCAGCTATATTTTAATATCAAAAGCCAATCGTTGCAGCCAAGCCCTCCAGAATCCAGCTACTTCACAGCACAGAAGGCATTTGCTTCATTCAGTAAAGCAGCCAAAGCAGCAAGGGACTTTTACTGATATAGATAATTCCTAACTGGATGGCAAAAATTAATCAGAGTGGCCCCCACAGCCTACCAGCCAATGAGAAATAGCAATATTACTGTACAGAGTTTTGCTTACTAGCTCTAGCAAGGCACCAAGAGGCACTTTAAAAGTACAACAGGGACAATAAATTACCGTACAAAAGAAACAGTGGTCTGGCAGGTGGAACACCAAATTAAGATTCAGGAAACGGTATTTTACAATCTCTTCTGCAGTGACCTACACAAACTCTTTGGAAGTCACCTCCTCTTTGTGCATCTCAGTTTTAACAAACCTTCTCAGTTCGGAAGACAAAAAAAGTATTCAAACCTGTTAACTACAATGAATGCCTGTGGCCTCATTAACGTACTTTTGAGGAATGAAACTGGATTTGGTTTGCCTAGTTGGGTTTGTGTGGGTTTTTTGTTGGTTTTGTTTTAAGTCATTCATTAAAAAAAAAAAATAACAACAAAACCCACCAGGCATTTTAGTTTCTTATTGCTGATACAATAGGCTTTGGATAAAGGTCACCAAAACATAGCAGAAGCACTGAAGCCTACCTGATGCACAGAGCCTAAAACAACAGTTTTAAGCTGCAAGATGCTTCATATGTAACCGTCACAAACCTGTGGAGACAATTATTCTGTAGCCAGAAATTTAGTGGGGTTTCTCCATCTTGCCACACCATGGTATGTTTCCTCCATGGAATTCAATTTTTCTGAGCTGCAAGATACCAGCACTACTTGTTTCCCTGTCTACAGCCATTTTTGGTCTACCACAGAAATGAAGTTCTCACACGCTTCCTCCCTTCCTGGCAAGGGCTAGTGGGCAAGGTGCATAGAGCAGCGTTCCTATTCTCTCATCTTACGGCCCTATTTTCAACAACTATTGTTCTTAGAGAGAAAAGACTTTTTTTTTTTTAAAAAAAATTAGAATATGAACTGAAAAACCTTTTTGAAAAGAGCTCTTTCAAGAACAATGAGATCAATACATTTTTCCTTAAAAAGAAACACTGATCTTAAAGCTGAGACTTTGATACTTTTTTTTTCTAGGTATATAGGGCTATTTTATTAGCAGTAACGCTGTAAAACTACAAACCTCTTCAAGCATATTTGTTGACACATGCTTGTCAAAAATTGCCAAACCTTATCACAATTAATGAAGCCTCAGTTATGTGTTGTTTCTCAAACATCAGTATTTTCTTGTTCTTGCTGCCAGTTAGGTCAAAACCATTTCCCTTTTCCACAAAAACAGTCAGTTGAGAAATGAAAAACATCTACAGATGTTCACAAAAAGCTATGTATAACACAGGAGAGCTGATGCTTCTCCACAGCAACCAGAAGCAGTACAGATGGATCTTCTTCTGTCCAATTTCTAACCTCCATCCAGTATAAAAGGAACAACCAGCTTGCAAAATTATCCAATAATTGCCTACTGCAAAACCACCTCGAACTGAAGAGTGAGAATAACTAGTATTTTAAACCAATAATCAATTTTCCAACTATTTCCTGAAGATTGCTGTACTGATATTATAAAAAAAAAAAAAAGACAATTTCCACACTAAAGCTGAAAAAAAACAATTCCATGACAAGAATCAAAATCAAAGTGTTTGGTAATTTTCTCCAATTTATTGGGAATGTCAGAAAGAGGAGTCGGGAGACAGTGACACAGGTATCCGACAAGCTGAAGGACTCAAGAGATCAATTCAAAGAACATTTCTTCTCCAGATGACAGGAAGAAACAGGCACTAATCTCATAAATCTTGTGGCAATATTTTCAAATGCATTTTTGGTTCAAATAATAACATGATGAAAATGTAACTAATTAACACTCTTGCCATGAAGTCTCAACTTCGGTTCACGGGTGAAATATGAAGAAATGAAGGATAAGTAGCAGTGGTTATTTCGAGGCAGTGTCAATATGGGAGATGTTTTTATGTTAAGGCAATGTGCTCTTTGTAGCAAAGACCACGTTACTGCAGGTTTATACAGTACCGTGAAGGCACACTCGTTTTCAGATGAGAATTCCAAGCATAGCCTCTCTAATGGCAGCCACTCCCTTGAAGGCTATACTCTAGCCATTTGTGTTAATCAACTATAATAACATTGGGAAAAGCTTTTTAATGTTGCATGAATATACTTCATCTATGTATTAACTTATTGGCAACTGTAAGGACTTACTCAGCAGACCCTGAATGCTTTCTTTCCAAGCTCATTTCAGTCCACAACATCAAAGACAGTCATGACATACGTTAATAATAGTATTTCTATTTCCAGTATTAACTTCCAATGTCTAGCTTGTAATTCTTAAGTACACTGGAGAGAGTGAAGAACATCACGAAGAACATGATGTAGGCACTCATAATCTGGTTTGCGCAATAAATGAGCATCAAATCCAATAAGCTTTTTCAAACAGGGCTTACTACCAGAATTACTCTACAAAAAATTGTATGACTAAAGATGTAAAATGGAACATCAATGTACATGTTTTATAGTGAAAACAACCCAAACTAATTCATTAAGGACCAGCAGATGTCAGCTGAAGGGTGTTCTCTCTGATCAGCTCTTAAGGATTCAGCATTATAGACACTGAGCTGTCACACGTAACAGCTGGTTTTTTCACAGGAATAGCCAAAAATCTAGGAAGCAAGGTTGGTTCAGAGGTGAAATTGGACTAAGGATGCTGGTTTGGGGTTTTTGCTTGTGTGTTTTGTTTTGTTTTCTTCTCTCCTCAAAAACAATAAGGAGTAAAATCCTTGCTTCTGTGGAGCAAAAACTGGTTTGGCCAGTTAAGGGTTGCAGAACTCAGACTGCCAGGAAAAAAGGGTTTACAACATCAAAACACAACAGCCTGGCATTATGTTGGCAAAACACAGTTCCAAACAAAGCCCAACTCAGCTACAGCTTTCAGATGTGTGGCTTTTTATCACACACACCCAGTGGACATGCACAGAGCGATTAACCTCAAAATCTCTACTCTTCATCACATGAGTATCAGCAGCGTACGAGATGTTCAAAAGCGTATTTGAACAGCAAGTCTTTATTCTAATGCTCAGAGAACCACCACAGTGCCCGAAATTTTGTAAGAACTTTGCAAGTTACTCACTTTC